TAAAAATGAAAAGTATGCACCCTGTCAGGCTCCTAAATCAACAGTTGTCCTGCTGTATCGGTTCCGCCCTGATGACGGTCGCTTTGCGTTGCGATCGAAAAAGTCGTGATTTATTTGATTTTATTTCTACCTACGTGACTTTACCGAAAGAACCAAAGAGTATGGATTCCTGTCAAGCTGTTTTTTATGTGTGTGTAAGTACACACACGTGATTCTAGATTTGAAGCTTTCGTGACTGCAAAGATTCATATTCTTAGGTTTTTTCGGTTAAGTCACGTAAGTAAATTTTATTTTGATGTTTTACTTACGTGACTTAACCGAAAAAAACCTAAGAATATACATCACGTGACTTAACTACACTCTACCGCAGTTAGAATCCAGGTAATCGAACACATGTGCACGGGAAGACGTCACCCAGGTGCAGCCCCTCCCCTTCATCCCCCCTCCCTGGTCACACGGAAGTGACGTCACCCAGGTGCTGCCCTCCCCCTTTATCCCCCCTCCCTGGTCACACGGGAAGTGACGTCACCCAGGTGCTGCCCCTCCCCTTTATCCCCCCTCCCTGGTCACACGGGAAGTGACGTCACCCAGGTGCTGCCCCTCCCCCTTTATCCCCCTCCCCTGGTCACACGGGAAGTGACGTCACCCAGGTGCTGCCCCTCCCCCTTTATCCCCCCTCCCTGGTCACACGGGAAGTGACGTCACCCAGGTGCTGCCCCTCCCCCTTTATCCCCCCTCCCCTGGTCACACGGGAAGTGACGTCACCCAGGTGCTGCCCCTCCCCCTTTATCCCCCCTCCCCTGGTCACACGGGAAGTGACGTCACCCCAGGGGCTGCCCCTCCCCCTTTATCCCCCTCTCCGCAGCGAATCAGCGGTGAGGTGACGTCACCCCAGGGGCTGCCCCTCCCCCTCATCCCCCCTCCCCGCAGCGAATCAGCGGTGAGGTGACGTCACCCAGTTCCTGCCCCTCCCCCTTTATCCCCCCGCAGCGAATCAGCGGTGCCATTCGTCACACCGGACGTGACGTCACCCAGGTGCTGCCCCTCCCCTTTATCCCCCTGGTCCCACCGGACGTGACGTCCCAGGTGCTGCCCCTCCCCCACCCTCCTCTCTCAGCTTCGCGCCATTTCCCCTGCGGACGCAGTCGCTGAGAGGAGTCCCCTAGAGACACACGAGGGACCCCCTTAGACCCCCTCGCAGACACACAGAGATCCCTTCGCGAGACCAGGGAACAACCCCCTCGCCACCACCACCACCGCCCACAACAACAACAACAATCAGGGAGCCTTGCAGCAACAGCAGCAGCCTCCATCGCTGCTGAGACGGGAGAGCTCCCTTCTCTGAGGTGATCCTGAGGTGATTCAGGGACCCCCGCCGCGAAAAGTGAACCCCCAAAATGAGGGGACTACTGCTACTACTAAGTCTGCTGCTGCTGCTGCACACAGGGAGAGCGAGGAACAGAGCAGCAAGTGTCAGGTAACGGGGCCTCTTACCCCCAACGCATCCTCACCCCCTCACTCTGAGGCACCGTGTAGGTGAAATATTAAAGTTAATAAAATAAAATAAAAATCACGACGTTTAGGAGGGAAAAAAGCTTCCGAAACGTCGTGATTTTTATTTTCGGTAAAGTCACGTCGGTAAAATATTAAAATTAATTAAAATATAATAAAAATCACGACGTTTCGGAGGCAACACAAGCCTCTGTCATCCGAAACGTCGTGATTTTTATTTTATTTTTTATTAATTTTTTATGTTTCACCTACACGGTGACTTTACCGAAAACACATAAGAGTATACAATTAATAAAATAAAATTAATAAAATAAAATTATTAAAATAAAAATCACGACGTTTCGGATGACGGAGACTTGTGTTGCCTCCGAAACGTCGTGATTTTTATTTTATTTTACTTTTATTAATTTTATTTTATTAATCTCATACTCTTAGGTGCTTTCGGTAAAGTCACCGCGTAGGTAAAACATTAAAATTAATGAAAATAAAATAAAAATCACGACGTTTCGGCGGCAACACAAGCCTCCGTCATCCGAAACGTGGTGATTTTTATTTTATTTTTTATTAATTTTTATTCTATTTTACTTTTATTAACTTTAATGTTTCACCTAGACGGTAACTTTACCGAAAACAGCAAAGAGTATGAGTCCTTGCAGTCACGAAAGCTTCAAATCTCGCATCCTTATCCCCTTCATCCCCTTTTCAAGATCGTTCGTCAGCAACCCACCCCCTTAGAAGCGCCCGCTCGCTCTCCACGCATCCCCCTCGTCCCCTTTTGCTGCCTATGGGGCCGTCCATAAATGACGTCACGCGATTTTTGACACCCCCCCCTCGTGACATGACGTCACAAAAGTCAGACCTCCCCCCCTCAATTATGACGTCATAAAACTCTGCCCCCCCTCGTGACATGACGTCACAAAAAGTGAGACCCCCCTCAATTATGACGTCATAAAGCTCTGCCCCCCCTGTGACATGACGTCACAAAAAGTCAGACCTCCCCCTCTCAATTATGACGTCATAAAACTCTGCCCCCCCCTCTCCTCGTCACATGACGTCACAAAAAGTCAGACCCCCCCCCTCAATTATGACGTCATAAAACTCTGCCCCCCCTCGTCACATGACGTCACAAAAAGTCAGACCCCCCCCCCTCAATTATGACGTCATAAAACTCTGCCCCCCCTCGTGACATGACGTCACAAAAAGTCAGACCCCCCCTCAATTATGACGTCATAAAAACTCTTCCCCCCCTCGTGACATGACGTCACAAAAGTCAGACCCCCCCCTCTTTATGACGTCATAAAGCTCTGCCCCCCCCTTGTCACATGACGTCACAAAAAGTCAGACCTCCCCCCTCTCAATTATGACGTCATAAAAAACTGCCCCCCCTCTCCTCGTCACATGACGTCACAAAAAGTCAGACCTCCCCCCCTCTCAATTATGACGTCATAAAACTCTGCCCCCCTCGTGACATGACGTCACAAAAAGTCAGACCCCCCCTCAATTATGACGTCATAAAACTCTTCCCCCCCCTCGTGACATGACGTCACAAAAGTCAGACCCCCCTCTCAATTATGACGTCATAAAACTGCCCCCCTCGTGACATGACGTCACAAAAGTCAGACCCCCTCTCAATTATGACGTCATAAAGCTCTGCCCCCCCCTCGTGACATGACGTCACAAAAAGTTAGACCCCCCCTCTCTCAATTATGACGTCATAAAGCTCTGCCCCCCCCTCGTGACATGACGTCACAAAAAGTCAGACCTCCCCCCTCAATTATGACGTCATAAAACTCTGCCCCCCCTCGTGACATGACGTCACAAAAGTCAGACCCCCCTCTCTATTATGACGTCATAAAGCTCTGCCCCCCCTCGTGACATGACGTCACAAAAAGTCAGACTCCCCCCTTCTCAATTATGACGTCATAAAACTCTGCCCCCCCCCTCGTGACATGACGTCACAAAAAGTCAGACCCCCCTCTCAATTATGACGTCATAAAACTCTGCCCCCCCTCGTGACATGACGTCACAAAAGTCAGACCCCCCCTCTCAATTATGACGTCACAAAGCTCTGCCCCCCCCCCCCTCGTCACATGACGTCACAAAAAGTCAGACCTCCCCCCTCAATTATGACGTCATAAAACTAATGTTTACAATCCTACTCATTGACATGTAAATGTTTTCCCTACCCCTCCCTCTCTCTGCCTCCGCCCCCTCTGTCTATTTTAAGGCCTCGCCACAGAGACGATCACCCCTCTCTGTGCCTGTGTTGCTCTCTCTCTGTGTATCTTGGTGATGTCTGTCTGCTTATATGTCTGTCTAGAGTTTTATGGTTAGATTCTATGTCGCTATTTCATTATACCTGACGACGATTGCTTGTGTTGCAATCGAAACGTCGTATGCTATTTAATTTATTCTTTTATCTATATACGTGACTTTACCGAAAGAACCAAAGAATAATTCCTGCAGTCACGAAAGCTCCAAAAATTAAGATTGTCCCAACAGAGTCGCCGCGCCCCTGCCCCTCCGCCGCTTTGCCTCGCAGGGAAAGATGGAGCGCCAGCAGCAGGAGCAGGAGGTGGAGGTGGTGGGCGTCGTCGGCGTTGCGAGGGAAGAGGGCGGCATCATCCTGTTCCAGCGGCAGCGCCGGCAGAAGCGCAACTGGCTCATTCCGGCAATCAGCGTCCCCGAAAACGACCGCGGTCCCTTCCCCAAGCATCTGGTTCAGGTAAAGGCCTCCCCCCTCCCCTCTTCCCTCCTCACCCCCTCTACCCCAGAGCCGGCTCAGCCACTAAGCGACCCTTGCAATTGCAAAGGGCCCCGTGGCCAGCAGAGGGCCCCCTAGAGTCACTGCTAGCTAGTGGATGAAAAAAATCATACATCAAAGGGGCCTCCAACCAAATTTTGCTTAGGGCCACCAAAGGTCTAGGGCCGGTTCTGTCTAACCCCATGACCCTCCCCCACCGGCGTTGAAGTTGACTAGCGCTGTCGCGGCGGTCGTCGCGGCGGTGGCGGCAGTTCGGCGGTGGTGACGCGGCTCTCACCTCGCGGCAAGGAAGGTGGTCCTGGGTTCGATCCGTGCTGCCTACGTTCAACCCCCTGTTTCAGCAGTGTGTGAATGTCATGCGTTGGTGAGTGTAAGGGTGAATGTGTATGTGGCTAAAACACAGCAAGTTGGTACAGTAGGGGGCACAGGTGGTGCATCAGCCAGTCATCTCGGTCATCTCGGTCAGTCGACCGTGGCACCTGCTGGGTCTGCCCCGTGACCTCCTGCCAGCGGGCGTTCGACACTTCACGTGGCAGCCTCAAGGTGCACTTGCCTGGCACAAGCGTCGTGGTGACGTCACCGCCACTTAGTGGCGAATGGCGGTTGTTGTTGTTGGGGTTTGTGGTGGTGTATTTAGCATGCCATACATCAGCATGTGATGTTTGTTGTGTGTGTGTACGCATGTATAAATGTTGGGGGAGCTGTTGCCAATTGGTTAGCACGCACTACGCTCTGATTTCCACTTACAGCTCACACCCAGTGACGGTTATCTGAACCTTGGTCTCAAATAAGTACCCGGTGCGATGTATAACTGTCTCCACTGGGGAGACAAAGGCGGCCGGGTGTGTTGGTAACTGCATATCACACCCCCTCGCGCGCCACGCCGGCCTTCATATTTGCTGCTGCTCGCAAACTGCACTTGCCCCAGCAGTCTGTTGAAGGCTATCCGGGGTACCTTTGCGTACGTGTCTCCACGCGATGTTCGAGCGTAGCTATCGTGTAGACCAGGGGTCGGGAACCTTTTTGATTGGGAGAGCCATAAAGCCAAATATTTCTAAATATATTGCATTGAGAGCCATATAGTATTTGTAACGTGTAATAAATTAAATGTCTTAATTTTAATGCGACTTCTGGCGCTGCGTGTTTTTGCTGATGGCCTTGTGTAGTCTGGTTCGTACGACGTGGTGAGGTTGAGCTTCATGCAGGCGTTGAGGCCCCGTGACCCGTGAAATTTATCTTCAAAACTAATTTCTGTTTACTTTAAAACGACACGGTATTATTAAGCAATATCACAAGTATTTTAAAATCAGTTCCAAACTGATTTTTGTATTTTTTAAAAAATCCTTTATATTAAGTTCGCTTGCTTGCGTGCTTGCGTGCAAATCTTTCGCTCGTTTTTTAACCCACTTCCCGTGATCCAATCGAGCTGACATTTTGCACACAGACTCGTTGTGCGTGACAATTAATGTTCGTGAAAAATTTTTCTTAAATGTTACACTGTTTAGGGAAAACAAATTAAATATTTAATTACCAATTGCTTAATGGTGGCAGACAATCATCTGACCCATAGATTGGAGCCATCTCAAGCCAGAGGACGAGAGGACTCTAGCCGCCACGCATATAAAGGATTTATAGTGAAAAACTTTGTTTTTACGGGTTTACTTGTTTCAACTCAAAATTGTCTTGGGAGCCAGAAGAGCCATGTATGGCTCACGAGCCACAGGTTCCCGACCGCTGGTGCAGAGCGTAACGCCGCCCCCTGCCGCCTCCCCTGCGCCTTCGCGCGTGCGCCCCCACAGATAAAATCGAACACACACGGGAAAGTGCACTACAGCATCGTGGGGCCTGGCGCCGACCTGAACCCCGTCGGGGTTTTCATCGTGGACTCCGTGACCGGGCGCCTCTCCGTCACCAAGACCCTGGACCGTGAGCTCGTCGCAGAGTATCTGGTGAGGCACTCACGCGAACACCACACCCCCGTGTGTGTTGGCGTAGCGAGGTCCAGGCCTCTATTGTGGAGTTTTACTGGTAGGAACGAAGTGAACCTGCCTACAATAGATTATATCGTCCATCCGTCCGATGTCCGATTAGGTGCAGCAACATCGCCCCCTACTGCAAACACTTGGCAGGACCCTACAAAAACCTTTAGACTCAGTGAGGCTTTCCTGGCTAAACAAGTGTAACATTCCCTTATAATTCCCTGAGATAGTTTTTAATGAAAACATTTAAATTAAAAATTAACTCACAGCGGCCTAAAGCCTACAGCTAGGCCTAAAGGCTAGAACTAGGCCTCAAACTCTCCCTTCGTATCGTACCCCCGCCGTTTCATTTTATTATAGCCATTCATTTGTTCGTTCCTACCAGCCCACCCCGCAGGGACCTGTTCTCAATGTCCTGTCCCCCGGGCCACTCGGTCAATGTCAACATTTCTGGGGTGCAAGCCTCTCCCGCCACCTGGTGACAAAAACATTCAATTCTCTAAATACCAATATTACTCAATTATATTCATATTACCGCGACATTAAAAGAACATTAACGCGGCTAGAACGGTTTTGGTTTTTTTTCGCGGAGAATTTAGATCTCGGGGTTCGGGTAATTTTTATCGGGCGGTTTACCTAATTTTATTTACAATTTTCAATATCACGAGTAAAATATTAACGTCCGAAACAAAAGGCGTCAACGTTTGCGGATCAACCTGCAATCGGCTTCGCAGCCCAGCGGACCTCCAGGAGTCCCGTCGCGGTCCGTCGGTGGTCCAGGTACTACTCTCAGAGAACCACTGCGTTGCGTGTGCGTTGCATGTGTGTTGCGTGTGCGTTGCGTGCCCGCTGCAGCTGAAGGGCCACGCGGTGGATGTGAACGGGCATCCCGTGGAGAATCCCGTAGATCTCCTCATTAAAGTGATCGACCTCAACGACAACAGGCCCAACTTCAACGCTCCCATGTTCCAGGGCTCCGTGGATGAGGGCTCCCCACCAGGTGCGGCGTGCGGACGGGCACAGACGGGCGCGGTGGTGACGGGGGTGTGATAGTGATAGCACCTGCCTGGGTGTTTTGTAACAACGGACACTCCACCCCCACAACTCTCAATTGGTGATAGGGCAGTTGTGGAGAGAGTGGAGAGTTGACCCATACCTGGGCAGTGTGCTCATGACCAGCTCCGGTTTGACTCTGCTCCCACAACTCTCAATTGGTGATAGGGCAGTTGTGGAGAGAGTGGAGAGTTTCTCACACCTGGGCAATGTGCTCATGACCAGCTCCGGTTTGACTCCGCTCCCACAACTCTCAATTGGTGATAGGGCAGTTGTGGAGAGAGTGGAGAGTTTCTCATACCTGGGCAGTGTGCTCATGACCAGCTCCGGTTTGACTCCGCTCCCACAACTCTCAATTGGTGATAGGGCAGTTGTGGAGAGAGTGGAGAGTTTACCACACCTGGGCAGTGTGCTCATGACCAGCTCCGGTTTGACAGCAGAGGTCTCACTCTGAATCAGTCGAGCGGCATTATCTTTTCATCGGTTGCGTAACGCTGTGTGGTAGCTACCTGGTCTGTTGCGCCGCACGAAGCTTCAGGTCTTCTCGGACACAGTCATTCCCTCCCTTTTCTACACTTGTGAAACGTGGACCCCCCCTAATGGAACATCTTCGCCGGTTAAAAACATTTAGGCTTGCCTGCCTACGATTCATCCTGGGTTTGACCAGGCTGGATTGTGTGAGGAGCTCACGTATCCTTGAAAGATCCGGACAAAGTCCCATCCGTGAGCTCCTCCGGCATATGGCTGGGTCATGTAGCCTGCATGCCCAGTTACCGCATGCCGAAACAGCTTTTGTTTGGCCGGATCGAGGGGGCTAAACGGGCGCGGCACGGGCTAGAGAAGAGATGGAGTGAACATAATGTTTGTCACCATGTCCACGCATCCCTCCCTGCCCTCCTCCCTCCCCGCCCTCCCTCCCCGGCAGGCACGCCAGTGATGACGGTCACGGCGAGTGACAAGGATGATGCCTTATCGGCCAACGGCATGATCCGCTACAGGATCATGTCGCAGATTCCCAAGGTGCCCGTGGACCGCCTGTTCACCATCGACAACACCACAGGCGTCATCAGCACCATCGCCGCCGGGCTGGACCGCGAGGTGGGTCGTTGTCCCGCGGTAACCGCCGCCGATTGGCCGATGTCGGTCCGGGGGGTGGTGGCTAATCTCTGGGGTTGTGTGTACGGTGTTACACTCGTGTTGTCGGTGTGTATGCGCACGTACGTTGAGCGTCTGTCGCGCAACGTACGTCGTAGATGACCGCGCTGAGCGGAGGTGCGAGGGAACGGCGACAGGCTTAACACGAAAAGCGGATCTGAAGAAACGAGTTTTCAGCTGCAGTGGCTTCTTAATTCTAAAGCTTTCGTGACTGCGGGGATTCATCTTCTTGGTTCTTTCGGTAAAGTCACGTAGAAGGGAACTAATAATAGAAATAATATAAATATAAAACAATGAAAATTCTCACGACGTTTCGACTGCAACACAAGCAGCAATCGTCATCAGGTGCGAAATCCACAGCAAGACAATTTGAAAAAAGTGACGGTTTTTACAATCGTGATTTGAAGCTTCCGTGGCTGCAGGAATCCATACTCCTTGGTTCATTCGGTAAAGTCACGTGGGTAGAAAATTACCAATATTTAAAAATGAAAGGTTCTGCAGTTCCACTGCTGAATTATTATTTTTTCCACCGAAGACGACCGCTTGTGTTGGGATCGAAACGTCGTGACATTATTCTTATTTTGTTTTCTAAAGAACCAAAGAGTATATTATATACATTTTATTATTCATCATTGATCAGTTCTAGATTTGAAGCTTTCGTGACTGCAAGGATTCATTTTCTCAGGTTTTTTCGGTAAAGTCACGTGACTTTACCGAAAAAAACCTAAGAATATGGCTTCTTAATGTTGTGTGCCGCGCGTCTCGGAAGCGACGGTGTCGCGGCGAGCGCGCTCCGCTACGAACCCGGGGACCCGAGTTCGATCCGACACCGGCGACGGTCGACTCGGCCTCAAACGAGTAGCTGCTGCAGCGAGCAAACATCCCACTGGGGAGACAAAGGCGGCCGGGCGTGGTGCTGGCCACCCGCCTCCTCCTCGTGCGACGTGCCGGCCTTCCGCAGTTGCCGCTCGCTTAACGGCGCTTGCCCCAACAAAGGTCTGTCGAGGCTACACGAGGAATCCTTGTCCTCGTTTGTTGATCTTTAAGGGGTGTGTCTGTGTGTGCCCCGTCGATGTAGCGAACGCCGCAGTACATGCTGGTGGTGCAGGCCTCGGACATGGAGGGTGACCCGGACATCGGCCTCAAGAACACGGCCACCGCCATCGTCACCGTCGCCGACAAAAACGACAATCCCCCCGAGTTTACGGGCATAACTGTACGCACCGCGCCACCACACTCACCGTGCCACCACACGCACCGCGCCACCACACTCACCGTGCCACCACACGCACCGTGCCACCACACGCACCGTGCCACCACACGCACCGTGCCACCACACGCACCGTGCCACCACACGCACCGTGCCACCACACGCACCGTGCCACCACACGCACCGTGCCACCACACTCACCGTGCCACCACACGCACCGTGCCACCACACTCACCGTGCCACCACACGCACCGTGCCACCACACGCACCGTGCCACCACACGCACCGTGCCACCACACTCACCGTGCCACCACACGCACCGTGCCACCACACGCACCGTGCCACCACACGCACCGTGCCACCACACGCACCGTGCCACCACACTCACCGTGCCACCACACTCACCGTGCCACCACACGCACCGTGCCACCACACTCACCGTGCCACCACACGCACCGTGCCACCACACGCACCGTGCCACCACACTCACCGTGCCACCACACGCACCGCGCCACCACACTCACCGTGCCACCACACGCACCGTGCCACCACACGCACCGTGCCACCACACGCACCGTGCCACCACACGCACCGTGCCACCACACGCACCGTGCCACCACACGCACCGTGCCACCACACGCACCGTGCCACCACACTCACCGTGCCACCACACGCACCGTGCCACCACACGCACCGTCCACCACACGCACCGTGCCACCACACTCACCGTGCCACCACACGCACCGTGCCACCACACGCACCGTGCCACCACACGCACCGTGCCACCACACGCACCGTGCCACCACACTCACCGTGCCACCACACTCACCGTGCCACCACACGCACCGTGCCACCACACTCACCGTGCCACCACACGCACCGTGCCACCACACGCACCGTGCCACCACACGCACCGTGCCACCACACGCACCGCGCCACCACACTCACCGTGCCACCACACGCACCGCGCCACCACACTCACCGTGCCACCACACTCACCGTGCCACCACACTCACCGTGCCACCACACGCACCGTGCCAACACACGCACCGTGCCACCACACGCACCGTGCCACCACACGCACCGTGCCACCACACGCACCGTGCCACCACACGCACCGTGCCACCACACTCACCGTGCCACCACACTCACCGTGCCACCACACGCACCGCGCCACCACACTCACCGTGCCACCACACGCACCGTGCCACCACACTCACCGTGCCACCACACGCACCGTGCCACCACACTCAACGTGCCACCACACGCACCGCGCCACCACACTCACCGTGCCACCACACTCACCGTGCCACCACACTCACCGTGCCACCACACTCACCGTGCCACCACACGCACCGCGCCACCACACTCACCGTGCCACCACACGCACCGTGCCACCACACTCACCGTGCCACCACACGCACCGTGCCACCACACTCAACGTGCCACCACACTCACGTGCCACCACACGCACCGTGCCACCACACTCACCGTGCCACCACACTCACCGTGCCACCACACTCACCGTGCCACCACACGCACCGCGCCACCACACTCACCGTGCCACCACACGCACCGTGCCACCACACTCAACGTGCCACCACACTCAACGTGCCACCACACGCACCGTGCCACCACACTCACCGTGCCACCACACTCACCGTGCCACCACACTCACCGTGCCACCACACTCACCGTGCCACCACACTCACCGTGCCACCACACGCACCGCGCCACCACACTCACCGTGCCACCACACGCACCGTGCCACCACACTCAACGTGCCACCACACTCACGTGCCACCACACGCACCGTGCCACCACACTCACCGTGCCACCACACTCACCGTGCCACCACACTCACCGTGCCACCACACTCACTGTGCCACCACACTCACCGTGCCACCACACTCACCGTGCCACCACACTCACCGTGCCACCACACTCACCGTGCCACCACACTCAACCGTGCCACCACACTCACCGTGCCACCACACGCACCGTGCCACCACACGCACCGTGCCACCACACGCACCGTGCCACACACTCACCGTGCCACCACACTCACCGTGCCACCACACTCACCGTGCCACCACACGCACCGTGCCACCACACTCACCGTGCCACCACACTCACCGTGCCACCACACGCACCGCGCCACCACACTCACCGTGCCACCACACTCACCGTGCCACCACACTCACCGTGCCACCACACTCACCGTGCCACCACACGCACCGTGCCACCACACTCACCGTGCCACCACACTCACCGTGCCACCACACGCACCGTGCCACCACACTCACCGTGCCACCACACGCACCGTGCCACCACACGCACCGTGCCACCACACTCACTGTGCCACCCACTCAACGTGCCACCACACGCACCGTGCCACCACACTCACCGTGCCACACCACACTCACCGTGCCACCACACTCACCGTGCCACCACACTCACCGTGCCACCACACGCACCGTGCCACCACACGCGCCGTGCCACCACACGCACCGTGCCACCACACTCACCGTGCCACCACACTCACCGTGCCACCACACGCACCGCGCCACCACACTCACCGCGCCACCACACGCACCGTGCCACCACACTCAACGTGCCACCACACTCAACGTGCCACCACACGCACCGTGCACCACACTCACCGTGCCACCACACTCACCGTGCCACCACACTCACCGTGCCACCACACTCACCGTGCCACCACACTCACCGTGCCACCACACCACCGTGCCACCACACTCACCGTGCCACCACACTCACCGTGCCACCACACGCACCGTGCCACCACACGCACCGTGCCACCACACGCCCCGTGCCACCACACTCACCGTGCCACCACACTCACCGTGCCACCACACTCACCGTGCCACACACGCACCGTGCCACCACACTCACCGTGCCACCACATCACCGTGCCACCCCTCACCGTGCCACCACACGCACCGTGCCACCACACGCACCGTGCCACCACCACCTGCAACACTCACCGTGCCACCACACTCACCGTGCCACCAGCGCACCGTGCCACCACACTCACCGTGCCACCACACGCACCGTGCCACCACACTCACCGTGCCACCACACTCACCGCGCCACCACACGCACCGCGCCACCACACGCACCGGCCACCACACTCACCGCGCCACCACACTCACCGCGCCACCACACTCACCGTGCCACCACACGCACCGTGCCACCACACTCACCGTGCCACCACACGCACCGTGCCACCACACGCACCGTGCCACCACACTCACCGTGCCACCACACTCACCGTGCCACCACACTCACCGGCCACCACACTCACCGTGCCACCACACTCACCGCGCCACCACACTCACCGCGCCACCACACTCACCGCGCCACCACACTCACCGCGCCACCACACTCGCCGTGCCACCACACTCGCCGTGCCACCACACTCACCGCGCACCACACTCACCGTGCCACCACACTCACCGTGCCACCACACTCACCGCGCCACCACACTCGCCGTGCCACCACACTCACCGTGCCACCACACATAGCTCCGTGTGGGCCTTACCTGGTCAAATATTTATTCTAGATTTGAAGCTTTCGTGACTGCAATGCTTCATATTTTAGGTTTTTCCGGTAAAGTCACCATGTAGGTAAAAACATTAAAAAGTAAAATAAAATAAAAATCACGACGCTTGTGCGTTGCCTCCGAAACGTCGTGATTTTTTTATTTTATTTTACTTTTTAATGTTTTTACCTACGTGGTGACTTTACCAAAAAAAACCTAAGAATAAAAATATTTATATTTTTGAGGCTGACGGAACAATGACCTGACGACGACCCCCCCCCACTCACCATCTCCGGCACAGTTCAGCGGCACGGCGCCGCGAGAACGCGGTGAACGTGACGGTGACGACGCTGACGGTGACGGACACGGACGAGCCCGGCACGCCGGCGTGGCGGACGCGCTACGTGGTGCGCGGCGGGACCCGGCAAGAACTTTGCCGTGGAGACCGACCCCCGCACCAACAACGGCAGGCTCTACGTTGTCAAGGTGACGGGCGCGGTGGTGGGGAGGGGGCGGTGGGTGGGGGGAGGGGCGCGGTGGTGGGGGGAGGGGGGCGGTGGTGGGGGGAGGTCTGTCGCACACACTGCCGTGGCGGAGACGGTGATGGTGGTCGGGTATGACAGTGGTGATGGTGAGGTCGTGGTGGTGATGATATGGTGGTCATGGTGATGGGGTAGTGACAGTGGTGATGGTGAGGTC